AAACGATCAAGGCTCACACGTCCTATAGGGGACTGTGTGTATTTGGGAAGTCGAGAGCACGTGAAATGGGGACGCCATTTGGATGTCTGATGACTATTTGATGTCTTTTCTTTCATGATGCCCTGTGGCTTCCCATCGATTGACTTAATGGGTTTTATTGCTTCAAGGGAGTATAGATACCAGCTAGAATAAAAAAGATTTACTGCAATAAATTGTATGGTTCCATTCATATGACATTCTAGAACAGGTGGAACTAATATACGGTGGAAAAAGGGCAGTGGCTGCTCTGGGAGTTTAATAAAAAGACAAAACAGCAGACAGGTAAGAATAAATGTGTATCTTCTCATTAAGCCCAGGCCATGCGTCTTGGTCAGACTTTAATGATTTTTAAAAGCGTGGAACTTTTGGGGAGATGAAGGAAGTGAACATATTATACATGTGCAGGCATTTAACCCCTCTGAAGCAATTATGATGTATTCACAAAGATGCTTTAAATCAGACAACCCATAATACTTGATGTAGAAAATGTTCCAGCTTCCATAATTCTTTATTAAATATTTGACAAGTTGCATCACTTCTTTACAGTAACTTCATTTTGTCACATTAGTCTTTTGCTGTCAGGAAAACAATCTACAATTTCTCTTTAAATCTCTCAAGAAAAAAGCAAAGCGAAAAGGATTTGTTCTTAAACAAAACTTTTCCTGTGTGTATCAAATTCAACCGTACGTTAAAGCTATTCTGATTGTGAAAATGAGTGTTATCCGTTGTCTTAAAAAAAACTTCAAGGTAGTTTGGTTTTTACCACTGTATCAAATAGTACTTGGCTTTATATTAGGAGGTGGGTTTATAATAAAAAGTTATGAAACATCGAGAATTCATTTGGAATGCTTGAAACTCTTTCACCTTTAGAAGTCACTGTTTTTTTCATGTTTCATGTGATAATAGATCCTGAATTAAGAAATGACAGCAAATTAACATCATCTTCCTAGGGTTCTCTCAGGCTCCGAGGGTTAGAATTTTCAGGACACAGCTTGGAGAAAACTGTAGAAGGGATTAAGCTCTCACTCCCTTTCGAAAGCAGATTACTCGATAAAGGTGTAAAAATGCTATATAAATATATACATATACATTTGGACAGCGCATGTACGTATATATGTATATATATTACATACACAGTAGTTCAGGAAGAACAAAGTCGCGCAAAGTTAACACGAAGGAAACTGTGACAATCTAGGTGAAATCGGCCTGAGTGGGAGGGGCACACGGCTTAGGCAGGGACAGGTATCTGCAGACACAGGGCTATGGTCACGAGATAGGCTTCCGACGCGCTGACGCAAGGCTGAGAGCGCAGCACAATAGCGGGCAGGAGCCAAGGACAATGTCCTTAGATTCCCAATGTTACTCCTTACAGACATACAACCAACGGGCGAAGACATGCACTTCCAACACGCGCTGCTTTGAGCATAACATCTCTAACAAAGGATGGATGTGTAACAACTGGTTTCCTTGGAACATTTCATACCAACAGAAAGTTAACCCTTTCCTATAAAACATTATACAAGCTCGCGTCCTCATGCGACGGCATTTTTCTCTGGCACACGGAGAACATCCTGCGGCGGGGGTGTGCGTACGCAAGTATCTATGCACTGTTCATTAAGGCTTATATAAATTAAAGAAGTGGTCCAAAGTATATCACATTTTCTTCCCCAGTTTTAAAATCTAAAGTATGAATACAAAGTTTGGAGTTTAGAAGGATTGTTTAAAAACACATCTCAGTCTTGGAGTTGGCAGTTTTGACATGACTTACCAGGATGTACCCCACTGCCTGAATGAGACAGGTAGCGTGTGATCTTCTGGGGGTCGGGAAGGGAGCAGGCCACGCAGGTACCCTGCACAGCAGCACCCCCTACTGGCAAGGAAGAAAATGACACCAGATAGCACCTCCCCCCTCCCTCTCTCAGTACAGGGGTGCACAGTGAGGGTGAGCGGGAGAGTGGAAAAGAGAGAGCAGGGCTGGCGGGGGCTGGAGAACTGATTAACCCAGGCTTTTTTTTTTTTTTAAAAAAAAATGTATTTTAAAATTTCAGAGGTGAGATACAATACTCTTAGGAAAATACAAGGGGTAACTGTTAACGGGTAAAACAATTTGAAAGTTGCTGCAAATGAACTTGGCTTTCAAGAGAGCCACTTTGGGTCTGGTGAGATCAAACGGCAACAGTGCATGTTGTCGATGTAACACTGGGAGGTGTAGAAAGTGGTTCAAATATCTCGCAAACCGTTTATCAGGATCTGTCACTGTGATCTCACGTGGGAGGAATAATTCATGTGCAGTCACTTCGTATCATTCGCCATCTGAATTTAGGGAATATCCACTGTCACTTGCCCAAAGGGTCTTGGAAACAAAAATTAAGTATCTTAGGTTTGTTGTAGTGATGAGTGTACTGGCTACGGAAAAGTAAACAACAATAAATGTTTCAGGCCAACGAGGAAAGAGCACTGAAGCCCACTACACCGTAACACGGACGTGCTCACCGCCGCCTGCTCCGCGCCAGCGGTGGAGAAGCAGCACTGTCTGGAGTTAACCCCGCCAAGCGGACTGCCCGAATTCCTCCTCAGGCCAACAAGGGGCAGGAATGGAAATACCCAGGATCCACAGCAACTGCGATAACCGATGTTGAAAGACCTTCACCATGCAGTGTGCGAGCTCTGGCAGGAGAGTGCGTGCAGCTTCGGCAGGGAACTAAAGACACAGGACTAAGGGGCTTGGGAGAGCATCAGGATGGGTGACAGCGCCCTCCTCCGCCAGGGCTGCTGATGGGGGGGGCGGGTGCTGAGGAAGGAGCCAGCAACCCTGCCCTGTGCACAGCACATCGCCCCTGCTGCCGTCTGCAATGACCTTGTGAGACGACCGAACACGGTCATCAAGATTTGGAGAACACAAGATACATGACCATCTGGGACAAAGAGTGAAACTTCGAGAATTGTTGAGGACTACTGAATCTTATTTTGATTTTTTTAAAAAAAACCAAACCCCCAAATCCAGCAATGTTCACTTGTCATTAAAACCAGATACTATGAATGGAAAGATGAACTGACGTGTCATTCACAGTCACTGCCTTTCAAGTGTTCATGGGGCAGCTTTCAATAATTCTTATCTGTTCCTGGCTTAGAAATTATCAGAATGATTTTTCTTTCATATTTCAAATATATTCTTTCATTTTTCAATACTTGGCTGAATTTGCATTTACTGAATATTCTGATTTTTTTCAACATACAGTTTGCAAAATGACAGAAGAATCCCAGCTCTTAGACTAGAATTTTAGACTGGATTTTTCCCCCCTATAATTACACGATCGCTCTCAAAACCCACAAAAGCGCACTGCTGCTCTACTCGGGCTTTGGCATGAGTTTTAAAAGAAAATGGACTCTGGACTCTCGGGGTTTACAAAAGGGGATTTTTGCCACTGAGACATTTGTTATGCTGACTGTAGGGGAAAAACACCACCAACTGATTAAAATTAACGAGCAATATTATTTTTGATAATTACTTAACACCTAAGTTTTCTGATCACTACTAGGTATATTTTTAAACCAACATGGAAAAGGAGCCAATATTCAACTCTGCAGAAATCCACCTTCTTTTAGAAAACGCAGGCCTCTGCCCCTCTTCAGACGACTCATCTACAACCACAGAACGTTCATGGCTTCCCACATGCCACCCAGAGCTGGGTAACAACGAGCAATTTCTTATGCCAAAAGGTCCTTCTTACCTAACACAGCTCCCGAAACCACAATTTTTTGGTCTTATCTACGACTGGCATGAGATCAAATCTCTAGTGTCCTCTAACTGCCACAAAAGGGTGTAGGACAGCACAGGACAAAAAGGACAGCAGGGTTGCTGAACTCCCAGGTCTCGGGCATTTTTGCAAAACACAACGGACTTTCACAACAGAGACTTACAAGTGGAAAAGGATCGAACTGCGCAGATACCCTCGATCCTCTACCACGACCAGCTCAACGGCTTGACCTCTCTGGGTCAAATCAAGTCTCTCACTGTTAATCTAGCACAGAACAGACACGACTCGGGCAGTACACAATAGACACAACTCAGGCAGTCTCGAGGCATGCAACAGGTCATAGATAACAAAACGCAGATCAAGTGTGCACGAAATAAATCTTTGTAGCTGAGTAGGAATCGCACGATGATGGGGGAGGACAGGTCTGCAGGCTCAGCTTCACATCCGGGTATTTTTACACCAGCAGCCAGATTCACAATGGATAGATATTGCACCGGAAGGATGTGTGTGTAGGGAGAAGAAATAATCATCACATTTAATGTTTATGATAAAAAACAAAAACAAAACCAGATACGACCTCCATGTAGTACATAAAGTGCCTTTGGAACTGGTGCGGCTGGAACAGGAATGGGTTATTTAGCGTTGGCAAACGCATACACAGAGGAGACTAGCCAGATCTGGTTTCCAGAGTTTCAAATCGAGCAGTGCCAAGTTTCATTCAAAACGTCTCTATCACAAACGGCGAAGAGGAAATAGAATAAAAGAATGTCTGTACAGCATCGGGAAGGGTTAAGTCATTTCTCTTACGAGAAATGGTAGTCCAACCCCGTCTCAAATGTGTTATAGCACACGTAATTACTTCTAAGGAATAATGGTGTGATTCCTTTCAAGTCAACACAAAATTTGTCATGCTATATTACAAGTCTCGCAGCCTGTAGCTATTATCTAGATTTGTACAAAAAACCAAAAATGTAATACCCAGTTTTTCTGAGTATGGAAAAAATTATCTTTATGTCTGACGTTATACTGGAATTGGAAGTTCTCTCAAAGTACTTGTCTGTAGAAGGTTTTCGGGCCAAAAGTTAGTCTTCCAATTCTAATGAAGTACAGGGTGGAGGTGTCAAAGTACTTCAGAAATAAAAATGTCATTGACATTAAGCCTGGTATGAAATTCAAATACAAAAAAAAAAAAAAAATGCTCACTTTTCCTAGGACATGAGACATCTTTAATTGTAATTAAATAAAATCTGAAAATCGGTCTAAATCATTTTAAAAAGTAAACATGAGTTGTAATACCATACCTGTAGAGTGATTAATTCCATTCATTGTCATTAGAAAGTATGTAAAATATTTATTAAGGGCTTTGCCTGCAGAGGCACAACATAAATAGCATAAGTCCTCCTGAAATGCAATTAGTGTACATATCAACCAGTCGATAATTTGTGGTGGGAAGTGCGGGGGCTCGAGCTGGGACCGGGTTCCCGCGTCTGAACGTGGATGAGTGCGCGGCCGAAGGCTCAGCTCCAGGGGCCGCGCCTGCAGCTGCCCTTCTGCCACCGTCTCCGCAGAAGTCTGTTAGGCAAATGCAAAAGTGCAAGCAGAACTTGCTTGAAGAACAACCACCCCCGAGGCAGGCGGTGCTGCTTAATCCACCCCTTCAAATCCTTGGGCATTTTCCACGGCCATGAGGAGTTTCTCTCGCAAATCTTCAAAGGTTTCGTATGGAGGTAAGTCAAGGCGATTAAAGCTGCAAAAGGAACAGAAAGCGCAGGTGAAGAGGCGCAACGTCACTTCCTAGATTTGGCTGATGGGGCATGATGTTTGAGCAAGAGAATAAAAAAAAGGCCTCCACTACTAATTTTTTTTTTTTTTTTTTTTTTGAGACAGAGTCTCGCTTTGTTGCCCGGGCTAGGGTGAGTGCCGTGGCGTCAGCCTAGCTCACAGCAACCTCAAACTGCTGGGCTCAAGCGATCCTTCTGCCTCAGCCTCCCGAGTAGCTAGGACTACAGGCATGCACCACCATGCCCGGCTAATTTTTTCTCTTGTCCAGATCATTTCTTTCTATTTTTTAGTAGAGACGGGGTTTCGCTCTTGCTCAGGCTGGTCTCGAACTCCTGACCTTGAGCGATCCACCCGCCTCGGCCTCCACTACTAATTTTGAATCCCCAAAAACAAATTCTAGGTGTGAAACCATCCGTACGAAATAGGCTGTATAACCTACAGAGGGAGAAAACAATTTTTTAATAGTCCAGGAAACCTCTGCCGTGGCCAGATGTGGGTCTCGGCAGAGTGCCGGTGGGAAGGCAGACGGGAGAGGCCCAAGAGCTCACGTACACACCCAGATTTCCAAACGTTTGGAACACAACGAAGTCACGCTTTTGGAGTTACACGTGTATTGAGACTGTGTCTGTCCCTAATGCTGCTTATTCTACATGAGGCCTCAAGCCAAGTGCTTTTCTCTATTAATTCATTTTGTTTTCATCACAACCCTGTAAGGCAAGTAATGTTCTCTCATTCTGCAGGAGCAGATCCGGAAGCGGAGAGGTAAAGTCAGGGCGCCTGCAGTCACACTTCTAGTAACAGGGCAGACCCATGAACAGAACCCAGGCTGTCCGGGGCTCCAGAACACCAGTGTGAAGCTACCTGCTCTCATTAAGGTCAGGCAAGTCATAATTGACATTCAAAGTGAAAAGCTGCATTTGTAAAAAAAGCCCCTACATATCTGGAGGCTTCATTTGGGGGGTTACACAATCACACTGGTGATAGTGAGGTCTTCAGACAAATGGACGGCCTCTGTGAGCAACCAAGTTGTTAGCGGACCAAGGTCGAATTCTGGCTCTGCCACTTGTCAGCTGTGTGACCTTGGGCAAGTTACTTCACCTCTCTGAGCCTGTTTCCTCATCTGTGAAATGGAGACACTGTTCACAGGGCTGCTGGGAGGATCAAACCAGCACATGCGAAGTGGGCCAATGGATGAGGATCGGTGTTACCTTTTTTTTTTTTTTTAAATAAAAAGAGACAGGGTCTTCTCACAATGTTGTCCAGACTGGATTCCAACTGCCGGGCTCAAGTGATCCTCCTGCCTCAGCCCTGTGATCAGCTGGGACTAGAGGCTGGCACCTGCCGCCTCACCAGCCATCAGTGGTGTCGCTCACTCAGCATTCACTGAATGTCTACCTGGGGCCGAGAAAGCCAGAGCCAGCGTCTGCGGGTGGACTGCCGATGTGCAGCCGTCACGAGAAAGGTCACGCACGCTCGCCACCGCTAATGATGACTCGGGAGGAGCTAACGTTCACCACGTCCCATCAGCCTTGTTTCAGCACCGTGCCTGTGTGACCTCGCCGAAGCCTAGCACTCAACCTGTAAGGTGGGTAATGCTCCATCTCTACTTAATAGAGAAGGAACTTGAGACACGGAGAGGTTAGGTAACTTGCTCCAGGTCACACAGTAGGGGGAAAGCCAGGTTCAGCCCCAGGCTGGCTCCAAGGCCCAGCTTTTCACCTGCTGTGAGTGCTGCACTATCTGCATTTAAACCACCCCCACCAGGTGCAGACGTGTGATTCCAAGTATGAGCAGAACAACTTCTTATGTTTTAAAAGCTAACCGTCGTCAGCAGCAGCAAGAAACTAATACACATCCATGGTGGGCCTTAACACCCCCCGAAATGTTCCGGAAGTCCCACTGAACTGAACTCCACTCAGATTCGTTAACAGCCACTGAACATTAGAAGACACAGAGAGTAACACTGTGCCTCTCAAACACCCAGGAATCCTAAAAGAGTAAGTCTTAAAGCTTTTAACTTGTTTTCATATTGATAACGATCCAAAAACATGGCTCCACCAGTTATAAAGACAGAACCCCACACCTGCAGACGGCACTTAACAGACCCTGTGGCAGAAGGGGCTTCAGTCTTTCCCGTGGGGGGTTCACAGCCCAGGGCCGGCACTCCCTGCAGGGATCTGGTTACTACGAGGTCCGCAGAGCATTCGTGTTTGAGAAACGCCGGCACACTGCAGAGACAGGGCCAAGTCAGGCAGCGCTCAGACCTGAGCTCCGAGTCTTAGTGTTTAACTGCTCTGGGCCTCTTTTTTACCCATAAGAAGTGGGTCATAATATCACCCACCGCCTGGGATTGTTGTGGCGATTATGTGAATTAATCACATCAAGCGCCTATGACAACACCTGGAATGTAGTAAGTGCTTAGTAAGTGTTAGTTCCATTACTTCTGAGGTCAGGAGTCAGGGTCTGCCATGATGAGCTGGTGACCTTGAGGAGGTCGTTGTCTTCAGTGGGTTTAGCTTCCACATGCGTAAGACGAATGAGATGATTTTGTAATGGGTCTGCCTCAAAGAGCAGGTGGATCTGTGATTCCTGACAAAGAGCAATTTTAAATGTCCATGTAGTGGCCTTTAACAGAACAACGAAATGAAGCCTTCTGCACGCCAGACACTCAACAGGCCCCTCTGAGAGCTTAATGGAAAGTTCCCTCGCAAAGAACCAATCTACCAGCTTTTGCTCTCTTGGTACATTGGATTTTTACTACGAAGCTTAACCGTGTAATTTACATTTTCATAAAGCATGGAAGAAACAGAACACATAGATGGCTGGATTTTATTGTGGAACTGCTGCTGCGAGGCAGCCAGTGAAGCTCCAGTTTCCTACGCCACAGCACAGTCAAGGTCAGGTTGGGAGGACGGTGACTCGAAGAGAAAGCAGAGCAGCCCCCTGGACCATCCCCCATGCTAGCCAGTGCCCCGTGTGACCGCCAGCGCTCTCCGTCAGATGGCCAGGTGGCCCGGGGAGAGTGCCATTAGGAAAACTATTTGGTTGCTTTATTTCTATGACACACAGAGAGGAAAAGAAGTTTTGGCAAGAGGTTTTGGTTTTCCTCCTTTAGGTAGATCTTGGCCCTTCCTAGGGAAGAGCTGTGAGTTTTCGACCCTGCCTGCAAGAACCTGGGGAGCTTTGGAAATCCCACTGCCAGGCCGCACGCTAGACCAACCAACTCCAGTATCTTCTTTTTTTTAACGCTCTCTAGATGGTTCTCACATGCAGCCAAGGTGCAGAACTGTGTTAAGGGGTCTCATCTGGGCAGTACCCTGGTTTAGCTGTGGCTGAAGCATGTGGGCTGCAGAGCCGAGGCAAAGTTCAGTAGTGAGCTGTCCGTCCATAGAGGCACAGAGGGACAGGGGCTGACGCTAAACTTGTGCACTAATTTGGTTCTATTTGAAGAGCCTGAAAAGAAAGTGTTTGTTCCACCAGAGGCAGTATATTTGGTGCAGTGGTTAAGGTGCAGACTCTAATTCTACCCAAGTTCAAATCCTGTGACCTGGGGTCTGTGAACTATGATCCTGGACCAGCCTCCTGACAGCCGAGGAGGACAGTAACAGTATACAATAAGGTTGCCATAAAGATCAAATACTGCCTGATCCGCAGAAGATGACCGCGCCCAATAATTTAGCTCTTGCTAATATTTGTCACTATGGGCGCTATGAGTCTGGGAGTTCTGCACCGATACCCACAGTCCTGGGGCTCTGCCCAGTGCTGGCTGCCTTTAAACTGCAGCTCTTATAACCCAGACAACCACATTTAACTCTGATACTGTTTGGAATAAAAGCTCTAAGCTACCAAAACATTCTTCCCCTAGAATAAAGGTAGAGAACCAGGGACAATGACCGCTCTGGATAGTCGCCAATCTCAGGCTGGAGTCAGCCTGCTTTGCAGGGTCTCGCCGGCGGTGACCGTACTCACTCTGTTCACAGTCATATGAATGGTATGAATGGGGGAAAAAAAGACCTTTCCGGCAAAGCAAGGGAATCAAACAGAAGCGAAAAACCTTTCACAGCCGATTTCTCTCAAATACATTTTCATGAGAATTCTCCCCCAGCCGGCATTTCTAGTTTAAGGGAGGGTGTTTCCTGCAGGGGGTGTTCTGTTGCCCATGTAAGTTCGGTACGGTGAAGGCAGGCTTTGAAGCCCTCCTTGTGCATGAGAAAAGCAGGGCTAAGCTGCTCACCATTTTCTAGAAGGCCCACTTTCACTGCTCCCTACGGAACAGGAAATAAAAGCCTATGCAGAAAACCCAACACGAGGGACACGGGAACTTGGATTAGCAAGAGCTCGCTGAACACCGCTTTAAAAAGCAGATTGCACCGAGCCTGCGTGTGTGCCGGGTTTTATGTAACTCTTCAAAGAAAACCACCGACACCCTCCCGCCTCCCCCTGCATCCTGAGAGGGCAGCCACATTCCACCTGTCATCCTGGTCATTGGTCAGACCACTTACACTCCCTGGTCACAATCACATTATTACTCGATTCCAGGGAATTAAGAGTTATTGATGAGCACACGAGGCCTTTTAAAAAGGATGTTTCTCCACGGAATTTTATCCTAAGTTCCAAACACCCAATGTAAGGTTAGAGTGAAATCCCAATCTGTTTAGAGAGGCCGGGAGCTGCCTTATCCACACGTGGTGAACAGTGAAACCTCTGTCACCTAGGATTGTCAGGGAAGGACAGGGTTCGGAGGGGCCGTCCACAGCGCCGAGTCCTTTACGTGCCAAGCACACCGGGTGCATTTGAATCTCGGTTTAAGTTTTATCAGCACTACTGTACAATTTCTATCTTCATCCGTACCCGTCTTTTCGTTCTCCAAGCTATTTATGGCAGGAAATAGCATTCTGTAGTCTCTAGCCCAGCACCACGCACAGCTAAGTATATAAAGTACTGCTTGTTGACAACTACATGTTTTTGTCACTCACCATGTGTGAGCTCTGGGCAGTTTTTCAGGACTGCCCCACTGCTCTATTGTAAACAGCTGAGGACCATTGGAACCTAGACAAGAAAAGAGAGAGAAATGTTAAGAGTGCTTGGGGCCGCAGAACCAAGCTATGGCGTGACTTAAAGGGAAGAAGGACAGACCAGCTACTGTCAGGGCAGGGTTTTCCCCCAGGGTGAGACCTGAGACATTCCCTCTTGCTACAATATAATATTTATTATTTATTTATTTTTTTGAGATGGGGTCTTGCTCTGTCTCCCAGGCTGGAGTGCAGTGGTGCAATCACAGCTCACTGTAGCCTAGAACTCCTGAGCTCAAGCAATCTTTCTGCCTTAGCCTCCCCAGTAGCTAGGATGACAGGGGCATGCTACCACGTGCCCTGCTAATTTTTCTGCTTTTTTTGTAAAGACAGGGTCTCCTTATGTTGCCCAGGCTGGTCTTGAACTCCCAGCCTCAACCTCCGAAAGTGCTGGGATTACAGGTGTGAGCCACTACACCTGGCTAGTATTTAACATTTAATGTTGGGAGAAGTAAAAGTACTGCACAACCTTGTAACATAGACTCTGCAATACCTTCAGAAAGGAATCCCACCAAGTTTGGCAGACATAACATACATAAGAGCAGATAGCTACAGCCTCTCAACTGAAGCCTGGAAATTTAAACTTAAAACTACTTTTGGGGAAAAAAATAATAAAATAAAATGTGACCTTCAGTATGCAAAGCAGAAAGAGTGATTTTTTTGAAAATCTACAGTTAGTACTAAAGAATTCTGTGACCTGGAGGTGAGGTGTCCTTTAAGTGATCAGTTTATAACCACATGGATGATTCTGCAAAACCCAGTTTTTAAAGATACACCAAAAAACTGAACTAGAAAAAAAAAGAAAAAAACAAAGAGAAGACCAATCCTCACGGTTCTCTCCACAAACTGCTCCCTCCACCCCTCCGGGCAGAAGCACCTGTTGTCTGTCCATGTGAAGTGCTTTTGTTGAACCTACACACAGCACACTGTCCTAAAAAGACTTCTTGGCCTTGTGTAGAGGGGCAGAGGGTTCTTGGGCCACAGTTGATGCTTGGCTAGAAATTCACAGGAGGAGAATTGACTCTAACCATATCCCACGCTCACCATAAAGTTCGGCGAATCCATTCATAGGTACTCGGGACGTCCCCGTGACAAACTGCAGTAACCGGATACGCTTTTCGGCGTCCATCAGTAGCACAGCCTATGAACAGAGGCAGAAGGTCATTATGTCTCCCACGTGACATGCTGCTCGGGCTGCTGTAACGCATGCGGGCAAAACCTAATCTTATTTATGCTGCACTGTAAGACCCACACAGCTGACTCTGAAAACTGAGCCTTTTTTTTTATGGCCACCACAGTGCCAGTCTCTCTAATCTTAGAGAGTGAGTGATCACAATGTCTCTTTCTTCTTCTGCCAATATGCCAAAATAAATGATATAAAAAGCAAACTCTTTGATGGCATCGAGCTCGTGTTTCTGTGTGTGAGGCTGGCCAGTTTCCCCGAAGCCAATTATAAACATACAGTGTTCAAGGAGCGTCAGCACAAGGGGAATCTGGGTTATGAGATGGGGCTTCAGACTGTAGACACATTCCCAAAGACAACATTTTATAAAAAGAAAAAAAAAAATCAAGAGGCAAGGATGGGCATCTAAAGAAATCTGTGCATCTTACATATCTGAATTATTACCAGAATTGAGTTGGCTTTACTGGTAATGTATTTGAACTGCTATAGAAAAATACCCACAATTGAAGCTAAGCGAGACTTAGATTAGGATTAGATGAAGATTTTGTTTTTTGTTTTTCTCTCTAGACATCTGCTGGCACTTGAAATATTAATAGACATTTAGAAATTTTAAAAAGTTAGTGATTTCTTTTTTCTATAAGTAAATAACCAAGCTTTTCATGGGTAACCATTTTTTTTAAGGTTAGTTTACTCTCTCTTGCTAGGACTAACCTATTCCTATTTCATGTCCCTCCTAAGCTGAACAGGATGCAAACATTGGCCCAAAGATAGTAAATTAAATTTCATTTGCATCTCTGGTTGAAACATAGAAAGATCAAAAATTTGTTGGAATTCAAAAAAATGAAGAAAACGACTTCTTAACAGGAAACGGTATCTTGGAAAAGCCAGCGCTAAAGCCTGTTTGCGCCCCGGGAAATCACCTGTTCTTATTTACACTTCGGGGCACTAGTTCCAATACTCTTGAAGCCAATTAATTCCTTTTCAGAATCATCTTACTCAATGGGTTCCTCAAATAGAGGTCGCCTCAACCAGGTTTTGTTAAGGATCACCTTGTTCAAGGCTAGCTGTCCAGTACAGTGACAGCACGAGCACAGTCAGGGCGGCCAGCCCAGTCTGCCTCTTCCCCCCAGCAGTGCAGGGGCTAACAGACTCCAGCATCTGCACCAGTCCTGAAGTCAGACCGTACGAAGGGCACCCCCAGAACCACCAGTTCCGACACAGGCGGAAGAACACCGGGCAGGGGCAGGGCCCTGGAGTTACCTTCCAGAACCACTGAATGACAGGGTGATTTGGGCAGTAGCCATTCTTGTAAATAGAATGCTGTCTCCAGTCGTTGACGTCAACATCGCCGAGGCCGCACATCAGCAACTGAGAAGGAAATTTACCAGATATAAACGAGGCAGGGTGTGAAAGCTGAAGAATTCACAGTGAGAAATTACTTTTCCTCCATGCCAGCATTTTGTCATTGTGCAAAGCAGGTTAGCTAGCAATTCACAAAAACAAACAAAGGCGGATACTTATTCTAAACTTTACCTGCGACAGCAGGTCACAGACAGCACAGGTAACGAGGGTGACTCGGTTCTAAGCCTGTGTAAGGCCGTGACATTTCACATTGGAAATAAAACCTCCACAGTCACCTTCTCTACCCCTCTAGTCTTAAGCACAGAGCTCACGGGTTTGCTTACACTCCAGGGGCATATGCACGCAACCCCGGCTGTTCCTCCTCCTGAGGGGTGATCTGTCCGAATATTTGAAAGAATCTCCCTACCCACAAAAGAATGAGTGCTTATGACAGCAAGAACTTATCTCCTCCAGATTGATCAATTCAGGTGACGACAAGTCACCTCCTCTGTGCAGAGGCCGATGACCTGCACATGTGCACTAAGGCAGTAATGGGTTCTTTGACTTATAATTTAGTCTAAGGTTTGCTTTTCTTACTATGTAACTCTCCGACAGGGAAGGTTTCCTGTGGACAGTTGAATATAATATTACTGCAGAGGTACTGGAATAAAACGGAAAGAGAACTAAACCAGAAGCCTGAAAACCAGGTTCCTAGGCCTGACTGTGCCAAAATCTGGCTGGGTAAACCCAGGGTCATTAACTTCTCTCTGCCTCAGTTTCCCACCTGTACAATGAAAGGCTTGCAGTACATGATTTCTACAACTGCCCAAACCTTAGCTCTACCTGATGCAGCAATTTTCCTTACCTGGTGCCCAGGGCCAAGAACCCAACTCAGCTCAGTGGGCTTATTTGGCATCTTCCAGAACTGCCCTCTCACGGGCAAGGAAACTATGGTGACCACTTTTGCTATTCCTTACTCCCAAATCGCCACACAAGTCCCATAAGAGACATGAGATATAATTCACCTAAACTTACGCTCTGGGACGTTACGAAGCAAAGAGAATATTAAAACATCATCTGTAAGTAATGAGAGGTACCTTAAAAAAAATCTACTTTACATAAAGTAATGTTTATAATACAAACCTCCAGCTCATTTTCATCAAAAATTTTGATCAAGTCAATAGGAAGCAGTTCTGTGAATCCCTGAAAGAGAAAAAAAAAAGATCACCCTAAACACCGTTCTCCTTGAAAAAGACAAATTTTACAGGAAGAACAAACTTTTTTGGTTAGCCAGAAAAAAAACGTATTCTTTACTGATGATTCATACATCAGTGACAGTATCAAGTAACTATAGTTCTAAGAAAAATAGCATAGTCACAATATAAAAGTTTTGAAAAACTATGGAATCTAGAAGGTTCAGGTACTTGACTGATTTCTGAAACCCTATGAAAATACGGGATACTGTATGCAGGTGGATTCCGAAAGCCATTTATAACACACTGCCATGAGTCAGTGTGTCCTAAAATGCGCAGGCCACAGATGTGCAAGAGACATGTTTAAAAATAATGTGCCAAAGGCTGGGAGACAAAGCCCAGAGGGTGGCGGTGTGATCGGTGTGGAAGAGACTGAGCACACAGAACCGCGCTCTCGGTCCCAGCTCAGCACTGACTAGTGTGGCGACCCAGCGACCCAGGATGACACCCTCGACGCTGCCGGCCTCGAGTGCGGCTGACGCTGGGTTCTGAAAGTCTGGATCACCTGAGATGCGGCCCAAGAATCTGCTTCCTGCGTCTTCGCTCCTAAATAATGTAAGTCCTGCCTCTGTCCAGTCCCATCCTCACATTTTATGTCCCTAAGGCTGAGTCCGAGTTCTGCCCGGGCTTTCCACATCACGTGTAGGTGACTGTGCGAGGGGCGGGCTTAAGAGAGCATCACGGAATGAGAACTTGGCGTCACTTCAGCAGAAACACACAATGTGGGCGTGGGGCACTTTCCGAGGTGATCTTTTAAGTAGCTAAGACTATCGGATTTAAAAAGGAATTTTCCTTTTGGTTAAAGTGAAACGCTTTTTAAAATGATGATTCCTTCACCCTTTGCTGGGGGCCTCTGCAAAGGGCCTGGGAGCATCACCCACGTTAAAAACTCGGATCTGGGAAGTGCCCGCTTCATACACAAGGCTGGCACAAGGTGGCTGGGTATAAAAAAAGATCCTGGGTTAAGAAAACGTGTTTTCCATGTACCTGCGTAGGACAGAATCTCTGAGGGACTATTAAGACAGCCGTGAAGAAAGGGCTGGGGATTAACAAAAAAGCCTGACCACTGAGGAGGCGGCCTCACTCCAGCGAGGGGCGGCCTGGCGGGAACCTGCCCGTAATCTGTTCGGCTCTGGGCCCTCAGACCTCTTGGATGCTGTCGCTGCAGGTACCACTTGAAACTTCAAGACAATGTTCTAGATCAAGTTTGTAAAAAGTCTTCTTTAAAAACATTTAGGACAAATAAAAAACTAAAAGAAGCCAAGTAAGATAATACTTAAAGAAAAAAAAAAAAAAGGTGGTGGCACACCAGCCGACACTCCTGTCCTGGAGGCCGGACGGTGGCGCCAGCCGTGAGTCCCGGCCATCCCGGGTGTGTCCCCACTCCCACCCCATCTCTCAGCACGTGGCAGAGAACCCCGTCAGCACGGCTCACCTCCAGGAAGGCGTTCATCTGCTTCTGGACCCTGTTCACGAATCTCCACTGGATGACCAGGCTGGGGAGAAAACGGAACGACAGGTGACCACCTCCGCCACCACCAGTGCCCTGCCCTGCTTTCACCGCGACGTCACTGCTTCTCTCCAGGCAGGGAACGGAGAGAAACCGCTACGACAGCACAGCACGAAGTATGGTCTATGGCCGTGCACCACTGTTTATTCACACATTCCTTCCAGAAAACTGATCATCCGTGAAAAGCCTACATTTCACTGAGGATTTCAAAAGAACAAGTGATTTCTCTTCCGACCAAGCCTCATTTGATCAAAGTTACTTCAGAAATGTGACTACGTAAAGAGAAAAAGTTATGGGTACGAACAGTTATGTGCGCGTAATACGCACACACACCCGCACGTGTACAAATGTGTACATATATTTGTAAAGAGAGTACTCAGTACAATGTATTTTGTTATATGATATTTCCTTCTAGTATCCAATGAACTGATGTTCAACAATGACACAGAAGCTTTATCAGCAAAATGACTGACATACTTTAATAACAAAAGGTGGAGGATGGATAGTAAGACCTCTTTAAGTAACTGAAAGTCACTGAAACTATTTTCCCTGCGACAGTGCTTAGTATAGAGCAGCATTTATTACGGCAAATCCACTCAGGATTTCATCTAAGGTGTTTTGCTGCCACGAAGGACTCTCACCTCCGAGGTGGCACCATGGTGACAGCCCCCGAGGACCAGCCTGCACAACCCCCGCTCAGCCACATCAGGCTTCGCTGCGCTGGGCTGCAACCGTCAGCCCAACAGCACTCCTCTGGCACCAGGGTAGCACAGGTGCCACGGAGCAGGCAGAGATTTCAATCACACTTTTTTCAGTAAATCTAGCTGGCCCCCACCAAATTTGAACCCTAAAAGAATTAACTGCAAAGAATGATGCATGAGACATTTCATACACGTCAGACTCCTCAGACTTCAGCCTCTAGTCACCCCAGGCTGGGGTGTTTTTTAAAACCCATTCACAGTCTGTACTTTCCAAAGGAAGACAATGCTGTCTGCCAGGTCTTGAGGCCAGGAGTTCGAGACCAGCCTGAGCAACATAGCAAGCTAAGACTGTCCAAGTTCAGAACGAGTGTGCCAATTAATGTAGACAGGTAAGATCTGAAGTATCTTACTTCCAAGTTTATTTATTCAGTGTAACAAGCTTTTGATTTGAGAGTGTAAAAAGGTCTGCTATGTAATAGTTCCACTCTTTGTCAAGGTTTTAAGTAGTGATTCTAACAAACTCCATTTCTTCCTAAGTAGGAAGGACAGTAGGTTTTTCTTCACAGTTCACACTGAAAGATGCTAAGACCCTCAGTCAACTGTCTGAATTCAAGACCTATGAGCAATTCTAAGTAAGAAAGGAGGGCGCCCAGCTTGCTGAAACAAAGCACTGAAAGCAAACAGGGAGCTCAGCCTCTGCGGCAACCCGTAAGATGAGCAGAAACCAGGACCCAGGAACCACACACAACGTGCTTACCTCGTCCCTGCACCAGGGCTAGGCCAGCAGGGGCAACCTGGCAAACTTTGAAAGATCCCAGAATTATGTGTTTGAAGCATATCTATATATCTATATCTATATACATACACACACACATATATATGTATGCATGTGGAAAATATAACGCCCCTGATATAATGTCCTAGGATTACTTAACAGCTAGACTTCCAAAAGGACTCGTTTTATTCCACCAACTGAGGCTGAGATTGAAGAAAATTACAAATATCAGAAGCAATTCATTATGTTTGCACCTGCTGAATTCTTCCTATCCATTTTAACTATTTTTGTACATTTCCATTATAGAAAACAAGTTAGGAGAGAATAAAACATTTTATCTTTGTTGGTTCCTAATTTTACCTCACTGGTCCTTGACACTGTATTCTACCGTTGCAATTCTCGATTTTATCTTTCTTACTTACTTACTTATTTATTTATTTGAGACTGAGTCTCTCTCTGTTGCCCTGGGTAGAGTGCAGTGTTGTCATCCTAGCTCACTGCAACCTCAAACTGGTGAACTCAAGCGATCCTCCTGCCTCAGCCTCCTGAGTAGCTGGGACCATGGGTGCCACCACCATGCCCGGCTAATTTTTCTTTTTTCTTTTTTTCGTAGAGACAGAGTCTTGCTATGTTGCTCAGGCTGGTCTTGAACTCCTGGCCTCAAGCAATCCTCCCACCTTGACCTCCCACAGTGCTATCGTTACAAGCGTGAGCGACCACGCCCAGTGTGCAATTCTAAATTTTGGATGTGTGATCCACATACTCCAAGAGTATTTGCCACATTACTCAACGGTACACACCCTCTCTTCTTCCTCTGCTCCTTCATAGGGCAGCTCACTGGAGCATGATACCATACTTGGCACGCTTTCCATTCCATATCCAGCTTCCCACAAACCCAAGCCAAGGAGGAACTCATATTGTTGAAAACTGACCAATAAACTCATGCTCACAGCATACGCGAGCTGTTCTTGCAATGCACGTCAACCAAATATACAGTTCAATTTATTAAAAGGTTGTAAATATGTGTATACGTACTCGATGTATTCCCTTTTGTTTTCATTTGTTACCATTATTTCTGACCCATTGGGCTTCAAATCCACTTGATATGTCTGTAATTACAAAGATAAAACAACAATCACCATCATGAAGTTATTTTGTGTACTATTATTGAGTAATAATGTCTTATTGTAAAAGGAAGATAAACAGAATTTATTCAGAAATACTTCCCAGCAAATGGGCTCTGTACATCAGAGAATTTTTAATGAGGCTTATAAATTGTCAAGATGTTACACATTTAAAGATGTTATCATTAAAGGCAAATTATTTTATGGTTATTTATGAGTTTTAATTATTCTTCATACATTAGCAATAATGGAAAAGAATAACACTTTTTCATCTGCTATTCATTTATCGAGAAATTAACTATGTTTAACAGAGAAAAGAACAGGGTACATCCATCAAAACTACAGAGATCCAAATTCTAATGCATTTTGTTTCTGTAAATTAAATTTTACGGTCATAAAAAAAGGATGCATGGAATTTCTTTCAGAGTGGTAAACAAAAGGGCTTAAAAAAACAAAAAAACAAAGAAAGAGAGAAGCTTCAGAAGCCAGGCTGAAGAGATGGATTCATCTGCCTTTCCAAGACCCACAGACATTTATTTGAGTGAGGACTCCTTCTCCTGGCCCATCTGCCCAGAGCTCCCTCCCTCAGAGCCACCCATGATCATGAACAAGCGCATCAGCTGACACCAAGCAAGCCACCCCATGCTGTGAACCGGTCCCAGCTTCACATCGTGCCATATGAAGCCATGACCGGCACAATGGAAGGGAGAGGGGCTGACCATTTTCGAATGTTTATTCTTGCTGTAAAATTTTGGGGAAAAAAGGTCGAAAAATATACCACCTACAACTCCCCTACTGGAATAAAGCCACGTCACCATTTTGATGGGGTTCCTTGTGGTTTCTTTCCCTCTGCCTGCCTGGCTGTACTACGGAGCAAACCACGCCAGGGGCAGAGGGCTTTCCAGAATAAGTGTCAGGGTTCTAACCATGATGAGGACACAGATTCCGACCTATAATGAAACCTGTGCCCTGGCAGAGGGCACTTTCGGTGGGTCCTCACCCTCCGCTGCCCACACCCAGGGGAACCCTGAGCCCTTCGGACCCCACACCCACACCCCGTTTATCTCCACACGTTTTCTCTATGTACATGACTATTGCTCTTGTTCACACCAAGGGCTTTTTACATTAAAGCTCACCGGTCACTGATGGAGTCCCTTTACCTTTTCTTCGTTATTGGGAAAGGGATCTCGTTTCTCTACCACATGACCGAACCCCATTTCCCGCAAAGTCAATTTAACTCTTTACTGTGCCCAATGTGGATTTCAATCCTGTTGCTGCATTTCTGGTTTCCTGAAATCCCTCCTTATACCCTGTTTCCCTTCCCTGTTGCCGTCCTCCCGGCTCACCCCGTCTTCTCCCGGTGGCATCTGCTCCTGCCCAGCGCAGGACACGTCAGGGACAGAGGATGCCAAACAGCTTCCGCTGGGGTGGGGATGTTTCCTACAGTAAAACATTTCCAGCTCTTTGCTGGTGTTTCAGAGGTTTTATACCTTTTGTTCTATTTTTTTTAATAAGCCCCATATTATACTGGTTTTTGGTTTTTCTTTTCCCCCTTTTATTCCTCCTCAAAGATTGCCTCGCTGCTCCCTTATGTGGAGTCTTTCTAGCAGATCCACACCAGTGACCAGTTAATAAATCCAAGCCCAGTCTTGGTACTGAGAAGGCTTCCAGTACAGCTCAGCGATGCTAAGATTGAACCTTCCTCCCCTCCTTCCCCCATGGCTCCCTGGTGCCCTAGGCAGGTGAAGCAGATAAACGTCCGAAAGCCCTGCGATATGCTCCCGCCACCATTCAGCCTTCCTCTTTCTTGGCTCAACGGGCCTCCCCAGGTGTTGCCTGGGAGCTGCAGCTTCCGGAGAGCGGCCGAATGAGAGGGTCAGCCATGGACAAGGCAGGGAGGGGAAAGGGAAGGAGAAAATCCATGCCCCCATCCCCAGCTCCTCCTTTGTCATCCCCTGGCGATGACGAAGAACAAACTCAGCCAATGTCGCAGACACTGGAGAAATCGTTCCATCTACACTACCACTGGGGGTTCAACTGCTTCAACCTTTCTGGAAGACATTTTGGCAACAGGCATCGACATTTTAAAGTGTGTATCCCTTTTCACAATAATTTCTCTTTCGGAATTTATGCTAAGGGAAAAAAAGTAGTCAAGTATACAAAATATGTATTCCAGGATTACACCTTACATGTTGCATATATATGAGGAATATCCCAAGGTTATACAGGACTATATGGTTAGTCAGTAAATACTGAAATAGCTTAAATGCCTGCCAACAGGGCATGGTAAAAACACATGGCACATTTACAGCATGGAATTCAGTGTAGCAATTAAAATGGGATAGATGGATATTCAATGATGTGGAAAGGTATCTGTGACATATTAATTTGAAAACTGTATGCACAGTACAATTCCATTTCCATTAAAAATATCTGGTGTGTGTGTGTTTAAAGGGAGTAATTCTGGAAGATACAAATCAAAATTTTCATCAGAGTTTTCCTTGAAATAGTGGGAATGACAGATGATACGTATTTTTATTGTACTGGCTTTATTTTTATTATAAAGGTTGACATTTTGTAATCAGATAAACTAACAGAACTGTTCTTGAAAGAAAAAAAGAAAGGGAATCATACTATCCGTGCTAAGTAACGAGGCTGTAGCAATACATCACTCCGGGGGCAGCTGTCCGGTTTTGTGGCTGATTCTGACCGCAGGTTTCTCCCCCAGGCAGCAAGGGGAGGGCTTGGGGACAGGCACAGCAAGGGTGGTTTTCAGTTCCGCTCCCTAAGCCACTAGGTTAGGGAAAAAATCCCCAGATTCTAGCCACAGGCGCTTCTCAGTTCGAGCACCTGTTGGTGGTGAATTTCTATCCCTCTTGGGTTCTTTGCAGATGACGTTTCTGTGGGAAGTGGTGACCGCTGTTCAGATCCCACTTCTCACCCTGGCCTCCAGGGCTCGCTGTCAGATCGCCCCTGCATCGCTGGAGTGGGGTTAGACCCATCACAGGCTCAATCACTGCATCACTCCGCCCAGGCAGGTGCCATCACTGGCTGTTCTGGGTAAGCGCGAGGCTCTGCAGGAGGGGAGAGGGCTGGGATGCAAGGCCAGGTGTGTCTGACTCCAGAGCCCGACTCTGTGCACAGTTTCTCCCGCAGATCTCCCTTGCCGCCGGTGCATCTGTCTCACTAGAGCCTTGCTGTGCCTTCGCTCTCCCCCACACTTCACACTCCCTAATTTCAGACGTCGCCACCATAGGAGGGGAAGGACTACGTGTCCTCACGACTGAGTGGCAGTAGGCACAGAGGCTGTCAGCCCTAAGTGGGCTCACAGTGGCAGTATGCGTAATGCAGAAGGGGAGAAGACTCAAGGGGCTCCCCCAACCCTGCCCACCCCTACAGGTGACGCGGCTGGGCTCTGGTGCAGGTCCCAAGCACGCACGGCACTCCCAGGAGGCCGCAGAGACCTGGGGAGGTGGGGTGGCTTTGAGAAGGGACCAGCAGGAAACCACAGCTGGAGCTGCTGCCAGGACCCAGGCGGCTTCAGCACCTCCTCTGAGTGGATCCTGCCACCCTCGTCCACGTCCCACTGCACTGAATGTGATTCTGCCCCAGCCCCAGCCTTCCGGGCCAGCACTGCCGTTCCTCGCGTCTGGACTCCTGAAGGGACCCTACGTGAAGATCACTACCACGCGCCTGGCACCCTGCAGTGCTCACTAAGCGCATGTGGCAAGTAGAGAAACTCCCATTTCTGTAAGTCTACTGGCTTGAGCACAAACCTCTCTCTTCCTCGCAGAGTCAGCGCAACCTCTGAGGACGTACGACCGCCACAGAACTAGAGTCCTTCCTGCGCCAAATGAAAAGCTTGGGAGCCACACACATCTCTCTGACCTTCCAAAGACGCTTAAGCCATTTGTTTGAGAAGGTGGTTAACGGTCTGGATCACACTGGAGTCGGGCGGAGTGAAGGTCTGCCTGCGTTTTAGACTGTTTTGGGTGCCGGGCGCTGCTGGACCAATGCCCGCCCTGATGTGAACTCACAGACCCAGCGGGACGCGGCCCCAGGGGGCAGTCAGCACCTGCAGCCCACCACGGGACACCCCTCCCACCCCACCGTCCTGGCCAGGCCTTCTGCACCCTCCCCGCGGCATCAAAGCAACTGCGCCGACAGGACGGAGGCATCTCAGTCAATTCTCGCCTTTCTGGCTTCAAATTTCCTCTCTGCGTCCATCTCTCTTCCCCACACAGACAGTTTCTGGCTTTTCACTGGCTCCCAGTGTTTCTCCACCTTCCTGTTCATCATGGAACCTTTTCAGGTTCCCCCCCAGTGGCCACCTCCCTCTATGAAATCTTAACAAACAGGTCCGAAGTGCACCGAAGTACACCTACTCGGGAGGGCCACAAACCATTGTGACGTCTGAGAGGACCGCCTTCTCCAACAACCAGTTTCTGCCTCCTTGGAGGGGTCATTCCCACTGAGAACGCTACCTCAGTCCAGCATGGGCCTGGCCCTGAAGAACTTTCCTATGTGATCGCTGACCGCTCTCCTCTCCCTCCTGCACAGCTTCTCGCGCCTCTGCCACAAGACCAAATCAGACGCTGCTTTGCTGCGCAGGGAATAAGGAATTTCTGCCTGTTACAGCTCTAAAGGGGCTCCTCTTCTTGGGAAGGGGTGTGCGCACACCAGCACGCGAGAATACGGTTTATTCTTCCTGCTTGACATACGGTAATCGTTCAAATGTTGAAATTTCTCCAGTGGAAACATTCCTTTTAGGTCCAAGAAACAAGCAGGCCCCAAATTCTCACCAATCAGAAAGAACAGAAATTACAAATTAATGGTAACAGCTGCAGTTTCACGACACGAAGCAACAGCTATCAAACTTCACAGTCTGTTATTTCTCATTGGAAAGGAGAAAAGAAAAAGCTCAAAACACTGCAAGTCCACATTTCACCGTGTGGCAGCTGCCCTTGCTCCCTCTCACTGAGGACATGACTTGTTCTTTTGCCATCAGGGAGGTGGGGGCTTCCTCCCGGGTTAGAGTCAACTGTAGTGCCCAGGCAGTGGTTTTGCAGAGGGCTGGGGGAGCTGAGAGGCTTGGATGGGCATCGTTAGTGCCTGTATTTCCCCATCAACAACCGTACTTTGAGCACCTACCACGTGCCAGGCGCTGTGCTAATGGCAAGTGCACAATGGTGAGACGAGGCCTGGTGGGAGAAGCAGAGGATAAACGCATACTCAGACAGACACAGAGTCATCTGTGGTATACGCCACAAGGCAGGCACGGAAGATACTCGTGGTATGGGTTGAGGGCCAGCGTCTTTGGGGAAGGAACGTCTGAACTGAGCATGGGAGGGAGTGTTTCCCCCAGCAGGCACAGCATGAGCAAAAGTCCTGAGGCAGGAAGGAGCTTGCTGTGTTCAAGGAGCCCAGTGAGGCCAGGCCCAGAAAGCACGAGGACAAGTCTCTGATGGGAAACAAGTCTGGTGGAGCAGGAGGTGGGGACAGGCTATGCAGGACCTCATGGGACAAATTTAAGGATTTGGGTCATTATCTCAAGGGCAGTGGGCAATGCCTCTGTCATTACAGGAAGTCAAAGTGGATAAAAAGAGACCAGTGAGGAACATACAAGATGGTGGCTTGGACTTGGGCGCTGGTGGTGGGACAGAGGGAGAGTGGACAGATGTGAGGGATATTAGGAGGCACAAGGAACATGGCTTGGTGACGGGCTGGAGGTGGGAGATGAGAGGATTACGTGGCTGCTTAACTCACTCCAAATTCCCTCCCAGAGAGCAGAACAAAGGAGTTCCCTGGTAATCAGGTCTGCTCTCTTAAAAAGGGTAGATAGCAATTTAACAAATTGGGCACCTAATCACTACCTTACTCATCTCGTGTGTCTATCCTGATTATTGATGACTCTGCCTGATTTTACCCAAAGGCAGAAGAACCCGCAACATTAAATGAAGAGGGTTGAGAATTGTTTTTAATGAATATTTGGCATGAACTAAAATGATAATCAGAATCTCTATTAGAAGTCTACTTAAAAATCCAAACATCCTGTGTTTGGTTTTCCTTTTCTAAGTGGAAACGGTTGCATTTAGACAACTAAGGAAGGTTTCCCAGATCATTTGCTTCTAACTTGGGCACTGCCAATAATTTTCTGAGATGTGTTATTTAAGGTGGTCAGATGGTTTTCTATAAGTGGAGGCACAGAGACGTTTTGCGTATTTGACACACAAGACTGACTTCAAGTCTTCCTTGGTTCTGTTTCTATTCCTCCCTTCGTGTGTTAAAAATGAAGGGAAGACAGTGCCAGGATGATGATCTGCATCTTATCCTTTGAAAACTGGCAGTTAAGACTCTATTGAGTCTAGCTTAAAAATAAGGATCCACTGAGAGTCAGTTGATTTTGTTTTCTCACACTTAGGACTTCTATTACTTATAACACTATTAACATTTTTTAAAGCAGCATTCAGTACGCATCAACTACATGCTGAGTGCTGGACACACCAAGGACCTCAAGGGGCTTATGGCGTACAGTTGTCAGTACCTAGATGCAGCGTGAGCAGAGGAGATGGGACAGAGAATGCATCGGCGTGGAGAGGGCGCATTATAGCCGGTGACGTGGCATGGAGGCCTCTCTGGAAACGGCGCTAGGCACGCCGCGGCTGGGGAGGTGAGAGGTGGGCAGGGTCGGGTCATCGGGGCTCGGAGCCATGCTAACAAGTTCTCACTCACACTGAAGGACATAGGACGACCAAGCAGAAGAACTATACGTTCAGGTCTGCGTTTCAGAAACATTCCCTTCGGGGCACACACTCGGGGGCATCAGAGAACAGACCGGGAAGGGGAGCAAGACAGGGAACGAGGAGGCTGGCAGGAGGCTGTTACAGTGACACAGTCAAGAAACAGGCGGAGCATGAACCAGGGGAGCGTGAACAGGGACACAAGAGGGGCAGCGAATCTACAGGACAAGGGGCTGGGGAGGCAGCACGATGACAGATGGAGGATTCCAAGCAGACGCCCAGGCTTTGGGTGGGAGAGGACGGTGGCAGCACAGCAGACATGGGGGCTGGGAGGAGGACATGCTTGGCTCTAGCGCTGGGACCCTGGGGCTTTCGGGAGAAGCAGTTTAGGAGTCGGACCTGGGACATGTGGCGACTAGAAGGCGGGTGTGGGCTGGGAAAGAAGTGGGTGAGGAGGGCTGGCAGAGGGATGCCCAGGACACTGGAAACCGTGGTGAGAGCCGGCGATGTGAGCCTCAGGCATCTTGGGGGGAAGGAGCAGTTAGTGTCAAAAGCAGGGGAGGAGGGAAGTAGACGAGGGCTGGGAGACAACCTGAGTGTCTAGTGCTGGGGAGGCCCCTGGTGACCTGGAGGGGACGGCAGCCGGAAAAACCCCTCCTCGCCTCTCGCAAGATCCCCATGCAGGACAGCAGCCTCCACTTGTCTATGAGGATTCTTAGGCGTGAGGCACGACACGGAGCAATGATGGGGGTGGGGGTGGGTGGGTGGAGATTTTCAGTGGACCCGTCCGTCATTTACATCAAGTCACAAGTCTCCCGTCTCTGGTGCCTGAAGTTCTTCTATGAGCTTCGCCCAGCCAACTGGGGAGGACCACACGGAGTCCCCGAGCTCCACCACGCCCAGGACTCACTGGTGACTGTAAGTTTTCTGGCTCGAACACACGACATGGAGTGACAAGTATTCATGTGATCATTTTCTTGTTCAACAATTTTTGCCCCCAGTGGTCATTAATCTCTTTATAACGAGTGGCACTATCTTCTTTTTCTGAGATTCTCTATGATTTCTCTAAGTCAAGAGGGCAGAGACCTGATTTGTAACTTCCCTTGTAAGACTGAGCACAGCACCGTGAAGTCCGCGAAGTGACAGAGCCGTAAATGGGTTTTTTTGATAGTGGGATACACTTTCGATAATCTCTGAAGCAATAAAGAACAAATCTATTTCAGTTTCCAGATGGCAGTCCTTAAAATGGGTTCTATGATCTAATTAATTTCGAGGCCATGAAGATTTGGTCTGAGACAGGAAATATCTCTGGGCTCTTACGAAAGGACAGGTACCAGGGTCAGGTGAACCCTTGAGAACATTTCCCGAGAAGCACCATTGTTACGAGGGGACAAGTGAATCAAAGGTTTCAGATTTAAGACAAAACACATCCAAAGACCCTTAGGATGACGATGAAAATCCCAAGCGGGTGACTTTATCTTTGAAATTGACTTTAAGGATCGGTCTAGCCTCAGTGACAGTGCAGGGGGGACAAAGCAAGACCGAATGGTAGAACAACCTGAGCCCGCCATGCCGGGCTCTGGGAGGTGAGTGTCGCCATGACAACAGAACCCTAAGCTGGGGGAGAAGCCAGCGCCCCTCAACACACCCACTCTCGGGCATGGATTTACATCAATATGTAAACAATCACCTATTTCCTAAAGAGCCTAAATTCTAAATGTGAGGCACGAATGAAACATTCACATTTGGATTTACTTTGGATTGGAAAGAGGTGCTAGTCCTTGCCCCGGAGACCTCTCTTTGAAAGGCGGAGAAGAGCTCTTGGGTTATCCGCACGTACCTGTCCGAAGTTTTCTTCATCTATACAGAACATGAGGTCCAGCTCAGTAGGGTCGTTTTCTAAGATCCATTTCAAAGAGTTATAATATTCACTGTCCTATAGAGATGACACAGAAATCAAAATTAAGCATTTTTTCCCCCAAAATGCAAACCTGTTTGACTTGTTTCCAGTGTCAGAATTCTCAAGAGTTCCATTCCTCACTGACGTGAGGTTTCCTGCTCTACCCCAAACTAAATCTACCTCTTTAATTTAAAACACAAACAAACAAAAAAGGTTTTGCTGGTAACAGGGGTGTGTAGTTGAATCCTTTCCTCTGGAGCACCGTGGAGGGACCCTACCCCGACGGGGACAGAGCTGCCACACACCTCGCTGCTGCACAGAATTTAACACGTAGAGACGATACACTGCCCGTCTTTAAAGAGTGGAAATATCAGAGGAGAACACGAGGGATAGGGAATGTTCTAACCAAATACCAGGGTTTTAAGTTATGCCCTTTTCTGTGCTTGTACTGCTCTCTGCAAGTTAATTTAAGCAAAAAGGGCAGCTGCTCTGACTTCGGAATCCAGAGCAGGAGGCGGAGGTGCCCTCAGCTCCCCTCTCTTTTCAGGCCCAGGTCTCTCCTCTGAAAAGGGAAAAAATACGTGCACTGTATTTAAAGCACTAGCTGCCAGCACGTCATATAAAATTAGCCTCTGAGAGACATGCGTATGCTCCTAGCTTCCTCACTCTACCGTAACGAAAGCAGAAGGTGAGAGCTGGAGAGAAAGCTCCAGCTTTCTGAGGTCCCATGGAAGTGCAAACCCACCCACCCAAGATCCACAACAGCAGGGGGTCCGGAGCACTGCCAGCTGCCTCCTCCCCTTCACGCAATGAGGGGAGCAGAAACATCAGTCATTGTCAAGGCCAACGACGCAGGTGCTTTTGAACTCAAGCGACAGAACACCAAAGTAGAGCTGCAAAGACCCCAAATGGACAAAGACGCTTCCCGCTGGCCTTGTGCGTGCGCTGGCACACAGGCAAACACCCTCACACCCTGGGGGTAGGTGGTGGGGTACAGGGACGTTCAAAGAAACACAGAAGCAAGAGTATATTATGAAAAGAATGTCACTTTTTGTTTTTATAGGAAATCCTTTCAACTCTAAAATGGTCTGCGGAGGTAAAATTTAGTAAGTTAAATGCAGCATGAAAACCCGAGTCACTTTTTGGAGAACTCTCCTAGTGTTTACTTTCTCGCTCTCCTACATTGCAGGTCGCCTGCTCTTCCATGTCCAGGATGACTGTGTGACATTCGTACTGTTTGGGCCTTTGTCTCTGCCACTTTTATGAGGTCAGAAAACAGAGATTCACCTGCTGTTCCTTTGTTTTGTGACACTCAGTACTAGCAGTTTTGGATGGAAAACACAGTTACCACAAGGGCTCCAGCTGTCCCTTGATTTGATTTGTGCACTCAAGTCTGTGCTGGGTCAGCAGGGGTCCCTGAGACGTGGGTGTATCCACCCTAAGTGCCACGATTCTAGGAAGTGTGAACAATGATTTGCTTACGACAGAAATGAGGGAGGGCAGTTAACTTCTCAGTGAAACGCTCCCTGCTGTGCGTACCGCATGACAGCACCCGTGACAACTGCTGTGACTACAAACACGGCCTCCGAGACCTCCCCGTGAGGCGCGAGTGCTCCGCAGTGGCCCGAGTGTGACCCAGATTTACTCACCACAGATTCCATGTCATTCAGAGTTATCTGCTTTCCCAGCATCATCTTGTAAAACGGTCTAATGAAGAAACCTAAAATATGGGAAAAATTGGGTTTAGTTTCTAGTCTCTGGTGCTGCTATGTATCGGAGCATGAGATAAAAGCTTAAGCTGCTCTCAGTCTGAAAGAGAAACCAGGGTGGGATGGCTGAGAACCTTTTGCAGTACACCATGGATGGGGAGGCGAGGCCTGGTCCGGGGAGAGTGGTAGGCGGGAGGGCAGTGGTGCTGGGAGATTGTGCTGCAGGGAGGGGGTGAAACGAGGCTCCAGGCCACGTGGGAGTCTGCAGCACAAACCAGGTCTATGAATTGGGGGAGCAAAGGGCCCTCTGAGCACAGGAACAAGAAGACGGGACTCGCTGGTGATTTGTCAGGGTGGAAGCACAGGGTGCCCTTGGGAGGACAGGCCAGAGACGGGGCCGGGCAGTGCACAGCCTGCACTGGGTGCCAGAGAGTTTGGGGTGCTCCCTGAGGGCAATGGGGAGTCAACGACAAGCCAGGGCAAAAGTCCATCTGCGTTGCAGTATCACTGCTTGGACAGTGATGGGGAGACAACACTGGAAGGGGATAGCACTGAGAAGGTGCATGTAATCTCCCAGGGACGGCAGAGGCCTTGGAGGGGCCACGGCTTGGGGACGACTCTGCCACCATGCAGGTATCCCACAGGGACCATCACTTCACCCGGTCCAAAGGCAGGTCAGCATCACATGCCTCCTCCCATGGGCGCCATCCCACCAGACCTAGCACCTCAGGCTTGCAGCCCCCTTCCCCCTTGTCCCCCCAGGCATCGGCCTTCTCAGCACAGGCCGGCTCCCCGGCTCGGCGTGGCACCAGGGCTGCAGACTCTGCCAGACTTCTGTGTCTGGAGAAGCAAAAGCATGAAGCTGACCACAGGGAGCAGTGGGCAGGTGTGCAGAGTGCGCCCTGCACGGCCACCTGCGGGACACTGAGACACGTTGACCAGGTTCATCCGTGTGCGTCCTGGCTCTCGGTTCTGCAATTCCTGGCTTACACCATGATCACCCTTGTGGGGACCACTTTAGCTGCCTCCTGGATTCCCCATTTGCACCTGTGTCTATTCACACCCTCCGTGAAGCCTTGCCTCTCGGGCCAGTCCACACTCCTCTGAGCTGACCCCGGCCTCTGAGCGCTCTAGTGCCACCCCACCGATCCTGGTGACAATGCCACCCCCCTCATCCTGGTGAAGCATCCTCTGAGCCACATCAGTTTCTCCTCTGAGTACTCATTGCGTTCCCTTCTGCTCGGACACGAAAGCTGATTGTTCTGTTTTTTTGTTTTTATCTCTTTCTCCCATTAAATATAAGTTCACTGAGGTCACATCCCGTCTTATACTTTGCTATATTCCTCCACAGGAACTAAGAGCGTCTTCTCACTTGGCGGAAGGTAATACACTGACCTTCTTCTAAGAAGGCTGAAGTGAACCTGAACTGGCTGAAATAATCTATGGCATGAGTCCAAGCCTGCAAATCAAGATACATTCACACCACACGCACACAAAGAGAGCAGTCTCCTTCTAGTCAGAGCAAGGTGCCTACTCTCTGCCCCCTAAAAATAAAGTACGGAAATCGGAGCATCAAAATCAGTTAGCAATTAAGAGCAAAAATATATTGAAGGGGAAAGGAAAGTACAGAGGGTGTATCAATTATTTATTGGGATAGTTAAGGCTCCATAAATGCAATTAATATATTATTTCCCTGGAAACATCTTTCTCGTTAGTAACTGCGATGTCAATCTCGCTTTCTGTCTTCCGCCCTCAACCACTGGGCCCCCAAATTATTAAACAATGTTTTTTATTCTTTTTTCTCACTGATGATTTCTGTCGTGTTTTCTTAAGGACGCTACTTTTGAAATGACCAAATCCACTAAAAGTCTCTATTATAAATAAGCCTGTAGATACTGCCAGGTAGGGGGGTTTTGATTTCTAATGTCCAAGGTTGGAATCACTTAGAAATTCTTTCAGGATTTATATGCTCTAAATAAGAACAGAATTGTTTTGTGTCATCTGTTTCAGAGTTAAGGTCTTAGCTGAGTTGTAACATTACTTTGAAATTACTTAGTTTCTTCACATTAAAAAAATAATAATTTGGGGACAAATGGAACAATGACAGGATATTGGATGGATTAGATCATTTTAATTAACTTTTCAATTAGCTTTTCCATCTGTCACCAAATCGAGCTCTCCCTTGAGAAAAGTTATTCCGGAAAACATACAAAATGTATAAATACAGAACATTCTGTGCTTTACAACACTGAAGTTTTTAAAAAAGATTTTAAAGACTATAGACATTACGTCTGCAGCACCCACATTAAGATGACGCCAGGGAAAAGCATCTCCATTGTGGGTAAAATATAACAATACTTTATTGAATTAAAGAGAACCAGTGAAGCACCTGCTTAAAAATCTGTGACATGAAAGATAAGACACCTATCAGGGAAACACAAACAGCACTGTCGTATTTTTATCACTTCAAGACTTTTTAATAACTCACCATCTAAGAGTTTCCCATGAAATACTGCCAGACCAGCAACTCTTCCAATGAAAGTGAAATAGGACAAATGATCTTCATTACAGAGGCCTGAATTGGGATTGATCTGAAGGGTGTAGTTGTCCCTTTTGGGGAGGAAGAGAGGAGAAAAGCCCAATTATATTTTCAAATAAGAAATGCAGGAATTGGAATTTTGCTTTGCCGCCTGTCATTCAACCTTGACACAGTGCTGCTGCAAACATTCTGTACCTGGTGGGAAAAGGTGTAAGCTATAAATAGAAAACATGACTAACCATTTGTTCAGCCCATTTTTGTGAGCGACCATAGAGGTCCACTAGAACTGGTGCATATGCCCTATAAAATAACTTAAACCATAAGAAACTTCTGATTTTTAACTATTTTTGACTTACAAAAGTATCTTTCATGTATACGGTTCACCCAAGTATCTTGGAAGATGAGAAACCCCACATAACAAAATGGTTGTGCAGGAATTCCCGATAACGTGCGTACTATAGGTTATCTCTGTGACGAAGGGACATCACTTCCTTCTGGAGGCTTTCAGTTTGGGCATAAGATCTTTTCCTGCTGGCCCAACCCTTGGTCTGTTTGACCACACTCTGCCCTGAAAAGGCCTCAAGGGCTTTGGGGAACAGGATGTGGCTAACTCAACAATGCAAACCTCCAAACGTTTCGGTGTGGCCAGTGGTTCCCCTTTAACCTCACAGTTGTGAGCACCAGCGGTTTTCATACTGGGCTCCATGGACAGGGGGCATCTTTGGGAATGTGGGTGAGAGGTGAAGATCTTGTCTCCCTACCCTGCCCTCTCCTTCAATGGTTTTATCAATTTTACATGGTGGGCTTTCTCATGAGACTCAGTAACAATGACAACAAACAAATTGGGCAATTCTTGGCTAAGGCAGCTGAGAAGGACATAGAGGCTGCCTTCCAAATGAGCCCCCAACAGAATGGCACCAGGTGGGAGATGTCGGCGAACCTACGATTGCTTAGAGCCCAGCACTGCACAGCTACTCCACTGGGGCCTCAGGTGTAGCCTAAGCCTTGGAGGATCTGCAGCCTAGAGGAGGAACCCTGAGCCTTGTAAGTAACCAAATGTTTGATTGCTGAGAAAGCGATTTCATCTGCCTCAGTCTCCAGGCCTGGCAATGACGAAATACTAACGCAAGGGGGGAATTTGGTTCTTCCCTACAGGACAAGGGTATGGTCCTTTGCATCCTCAAGCACAGGTCCTCAAAGTCCTCGTAATTTGCTTTTAAGTAGTGTGACTTCAGAAACCATCCTTGTTTGTAAAAGAACTTTTTCCCAATTTTAACACTGACAAATTCTCATCTTGCATTACAGTAATGTTACAAATGAAAATTGCCTTTTGTTCCTTACCATAATTACCCAACCCATTTTCAATGTCAATTCCATGAACCAGACAAGAGCAGAATCAATTTGAGGGGTTCACAGAGTGCGTTATTTCACCTGTAGAGTCAGAACCTGCTCTAGGCTGGGGGGTGGAGGGGAGAGACCGAACTCAGTAGCACTACTTGGTTTTGAGGGAGAGCGCCACTCACTCCTTCACTTTCCCCGACGTGCTCTGTGTACTCACGTTGCAGAGTACTCGAAGAGGCCATAGTAGGGGTTGAACATCTCTTTGGACAGTAAGAAGAACCACTCTCTGGCCACACCGCCATAGTCGAGACCTTTCTCTGATTCAAATTCAATCCACAGTCTAGCTTTTAGGACATCTGGTCTTTTCACAGACATGATTCTCCGATAGGACTCTTCAAATATGTTATTTCTGTGCAGTTTCATTTCGAACCTATTTGGAATATCAGCCTACACAAAAGAGAAAAACAAGCACATAATCATAAATATCCATCTTATTTCCTAATTAAAAAAAATATCAATAAAGGGTAGAAATGATGGCAGTCTTCAAATAAACAAGCAGTGACGAACAGTTCCAATTGAGACTCTCGCCTTTGTGGGTTTCCCTAGCACACACAGGAAGCCTTGCTGTGTCACGATGGGACACACAGCATCGCCCTGTAGCTGCTCAGGTTGACTCAGCAACTCTGCCGAGGAGGAGAAACTCATCCTCGCCCCCTTTTATAAACAACTTTGGGTACTCAGCCACCACCAGCAACTGAAATTGAGTCAACTCTATATGCTATTTCAGTCAAGGAAAGAGACTGTAGCCCAGATAACTAAAACCTATAAATAATCCCCACCTGGCCAGGTTGGGACCACGCTCAACTGTGGCAGGGACTCCAGGTAGCAGATACGATCCACAATGCCTAAAGTAAATTTTGTTCCCGTGGGGAGTGGGACCCTGACCATGCCAAGTTTGGGGAAAGCACCCCAAAGTCCCTAAGGTTCACTGACACGAAAATAACATCACAGTTCACTGAGGTTGTGGGAACCGTCTCCAGGCAAGAGGAGGTCCGGGGTTGGACCTTGCTTTCTGTAAGGAAGGATCCTGCAGAGGCAGTTTCCAGGCAGAAGACACGGCAGTCTAAGTGCCACAGAGTGAGACTGGGACAAAGTCATTGTCTATTACCAAGGGATGTGACTCACAGATAAACGCTAGGATTCTGTGTGTTCAAATGTCAGTTTTGAAGGCAGAGAATCGTTTCAAAAGTGGTTATTCACAAGCTACTTGAATTTGGACTTGGGAACAGAGAACAGAACTCCTCAGTGAGAGCACAGACTGTGCCAGATCCAGAGAAGACACCCAGGAAGGACGTGTCCACTGTGGGAAGGGGAATGGAGCGCCGGTGGCAGCGCACAGGCAAACTGGGACAGGCCGAAGGGCGGCGAGTCTCTCCTTTCCCCAGCGGTACAATCCCAGTGGTTGAGCAAACGGGAGAAAGCTGCTAAAACCCACGCCAGAGAGGTGGAGTCAGACAGTAAAGCAGAAGGCATGATGTAGAAGAATTTGAGGGTGGCATGTCAGCAGAAAACAGAACATTGTGATTTAAAACGTTGACTATAAAACTCCTATAGGTCTCAGTTTTAAATTGCCAGTGAGAATTGTACTCAGAAAATTACATTTGGACCTAATACTGCCAATTATTATACTTAAATACTATAAACTTTATAGGGA